CGACGTTGTTTGTAAATTTAACCTAAATGAATCAGTGTGTTTTGACTGTGCTACAAATATTGTTGTATGAAAAGTTACACTGGAGAATCGACTCCCCAGCCCTATGTCTGTGGATAACTGATATTTTCAGCAAAAAGTATTATCCACATTCATTTGTGGCTTTGAGCAAATTGTTTATTATTAGGCTTCAATTTATCGTCGTGTTTTCACTCTGCTACTAAAAAATCATCATTGCAAAGTTCTCCTGCGACGTTACGCATGCATGACAACGGTCTTGGCAACCGTGTAACATTGATGCAATTTGTTGACCAGCTTTTCAAGGCAACATTTAATGTGTTACATATCACGTGATGTGCTCTCGGCCAATCATGCCAAAGAATTCCTGCCATGGGTAGAATAAAATAATAAGTAAACATCATATTTGATCGGTTGGCAGTGCCATGACCGAGGTTTTTTTGTCAAGATCCATAGCATATGTGAAAAGTTTTTCATCAAGTAGCAAATAAACATTAGGAATTTTGTGGGCTATTCCGCTTACTACTTTTTTCACTTAGTTTATTTTGCCCGTAGGATCAGCTATCCTGATGATATGTGGTGTGTACATTAATCTACTGGCCCCACGGTAAATCTCCAAATTTTGGACCTGGCAAGCCGAGTTCGACTCCTTACGATCCCCGAAATATTCTCCGCACGTTAAGTTGTGGGAGTGTTATAAGAGTGAAAGTCATCCTTAGCGTGAATGGTGAGTGGTAGGATACTCAACTGGCTGCCCTCTCTGATCAGTAGCTCAAAATTAGGGATGACAGCAGACAACCTTAGTAGACAGTGTTGTAGGTCTCGAGACCACCCTTCGGAAGGTCTCAGTCTCGGACCATTTGGGTCTCGTTGTTTTAAAGGTCTCCAGTATTATTAGGCGCTAAATATCGATTATGCAGCAGTTCATACAAGGCGCGGTATAGCATCAAAGATGTTTTACTAGTAAAACCCCCTCAGTACTACACCTTTGTAATGATGTTTATGGCACCTCCCTTACTTTGGTTTACGTCACTAACCGCCATATTACCTGTACATCAATCTGTATACCATGCACTATTCAAACATAATTACTACTATACATTGAATTAAGCATAGGCTTGCTACAAGTTTGTATGAACTTCATCTGGTGCACGTATTTACATTAAACACAGCGAGTATTCCAGGTTTTTTAACATGTCTTGTAGATCTGCTGTGGTCGTGTTCGGCTTCAAGGATCAAAAAGAATTCACTAACACCATAAACTCTTGAAAAACAACAACAGTTTTTCTTTTGTTTTACTTGCTGACCTTTTTGATTTTTTGTATTCAGTTTTTTTTGTTTTTTTTCGTAGGTGGAGACGTTAAAACAAGGACTGTGGGGTTAACATCTAAAAGATTTGCGGTTAAAATGTTAATAAAGTTTGTTTGGCGCATGCGATTTTTATTCTTCTTGCTTTATTTTTCATTGTATAATATATTAGAACGTCTCGGTCTTGGTTATACACTATTAGTAGATTTGTCATACATACAGTCAGAGTTTTTATGGATTGATACTCACTTGTCATTCAAAACCACACATAACAAGTTAAACATCGCTATTATTTATTTTTTAGTATATACGCCTTGATTTTAGGGTAAAGAGATCAAGACCAAAAACTGCAGTT